GTTGTCTGAGATTAGGGACTGTTTTTTAATCTGTGTTCTTGTCCAAGTCTGAAGGTCAAAAAGTTTCAGGCTGTGGAAAGTGTTTTATGTGCCTGTGAATCTGCTCCCCCTAAACAAGAGTGACTGACTATAAAACAATTTTTCCCCTCTAAGACTCTAAAATCTACTCATTTGTCTTAAGAATCAAAGATATGTAAACAAGGTACTAAATTGGATGATAGTTCCTGATCACCTATGAGTAGTCGGAAGTTTTGAACACATGATACAGGCATTATTAAAAAGACTGCATAACAACTGGCTGGCGAGAACTTCTCTGCACACCTGCATGTTCAGATCTTTCACGTGGTCAAGACTATCGGTTGAAAGAAGTCAGTAGAAATTTCTATATCTCATACTATGCATCTTTCACATTCATGAGTACACAGGTCTAAATAATTTCAACTAACACAAATGTTGTGTTTAGTGAGTGTATACCTTGTCCTTCCAGAAGATTTTAAAGCAAATATAAAGGTTCATCAGAATAGAAATCTGACTGCTAACATCTTGTATTAAGAAAAAAAGTCTGTGAACACTTGATGCCTTAATTACCTGTATTAGATTATTTAGCTTACAACAGTAATAGTCCTATGATTTCAGTTTCAAACACATAATTAAGGTAGGTGTGATGGTGACTGAAATTACAGTACTCTGGGAGGCTGATGTAGGAAGACTGAAGGATTGTGCCTCAACTGGGCAATTTAGTGACTTTGTGAGACCTTATTTCAAAATAAAAAGAGGACTGGTGATGTAGCTCAGAGCAAAGGTAAATACATATATCATTTCAGTTTTATGCTTAAAATCTTACTGTGCTTCTACATGACAATAGAAATCCTAAGAACACAGAAGTCATCATATTATTACATTTAATTTATTACGCTTTAAGAAATTTTTCATTCTCCAAAGGCTATTGTTAAACCAGACAAATTGCTTATGATGAATATCAAATGCACTACATTTATAAATATCATTTGCATTTGAATGCATTTAGTTAACTAGGGCTAATCACTTTTCAAAGGACTCTTAGAAATATTTTTATGACTTTATTTAATTATAAATATAATCCTAATAAATGTATAATTTTAATTTTAAAACTCTAATGTCACACCTAAAAAATAATGAGAAATAATACCTTAATAGTCTTTTATTACTTTTTTAAACAGTTAAAAACATTTAAGAAACTACAACTAGGAAAGAAACTTCCAGATGTAAGGGAAAAATATTTTTAGATATTTTGATATTTTTTCTGTGTCTCTTTTTCTTACTTCATTTTCACTTTCTTCTCCTTAACTACATATTAATTACACATGTAAATTGATAAAAATAAAAACACTATTCAAATGTATTCTTCATGGAATTCTAGACTGTGTTTATATGCATGAGAAGAGTCAACTGGTGTTTAAAGTTCAAAGTTGTGAATTTATGGTGTACAATAGCGTGCTGTTTTTGTGTGAAATAACAGAAGTTTTGTACATAATCATATACATATATAAAAACTCTGTTATCAATATAAAAATGAATAACTCAAGAAATAAAATTAAATTAACCTGGAGACTCATATAGATATGTGAAAATAAGGCATAGCAGTTTCTATGCTGATTGACAGCACTTGTATGTAGGAACTAAAGCTATTTATATGATTACAGTTGCACTCTTTCTCCAAAGACTCCATTGATTATTTTCTTATTACAAATGAAAAATGCTAAAAGCGTTGCAGCTACAGTGTGTGTAAAGTTTGCTAATCACTGTGTTTCTCAGGACAAGTCTTGGCAAATGACACTTATTCGTTATATTCTTATGCTACAGTGTACTGTGTACATCTCAAGAGAGGTAATGCTGACTATGTAATGACTACTCATTTTATTAACTCAGCCTGAAGAATTTTTGTGCAATTTCTATCCTCCTCAGTGTGATTTTTATATTCTTTTTGTTTTTTAATGGTAAGGGATAACATAAAAATAATTATTGTGGGAAGACAAAAGATAAGTTTGAACATAATCTATTGAAATCTTATTTCCTGCCACTAGTCTAAAATAGAACCTTCATTAACCTTGCAATTTGAAGTAGATGTTACTAAGCATATGGATACAAATCATGAATATAATTTTCCTTATCAAAAAGCAATGGCAAGATATAGCCACAAAACTTTCACAGAGCTTGTCATCTGAGAAAGGCTACTGAAGGCCAGGGAGAAAGAGGACAACTGTGACATTCTCACTGCCTATTTTCAAGAAAGATCGTCACTTTAGGAACTGGCTTTTTTAGTAGTGTATAATGTAAATCTAATTGTGTGCTACTGAATAGTGAGTAATTTATCTGCTGGCTGTGTGGGAGCTTGGATGCTTTTAAAACAAATTCTCGCGATGATGAATGCTTTTTCAGCACTCAGTGTCTCATTTCTGAAACAACAGTGAAAGCCACTCAAGTGGTGCTGGATTGTATTGAATCAAGCAATTTACTTCCATTTGACAAAGATAAAAAAGATAATATTAATCTACAGGGCAAGCACATTTAATTTTAAACTTCATGCATTAATGTGTTTGAAATAATATAGATACAGCCACAAGTGGAATAAATACACCTTATTTACAGATGCATCCAAAATGTGAGTTTTTTAAAGAAGTCTTGTGATTTCTTTAGTATCAGAAAATTTTAAGTCTTTTTTATTTTTTTCTTCTTCTTATTAAGTTTTATAACTGAAAATAAATTAGAGAAATCTATATAGTCTATATTTTCAGGCAGCAACTGTAAAAGCCAAAAAAAGGAAAGAAATTATGTGGGTGATACAGAACGCATAACATTTTTATAGAAAACAAAGTCTTATAAACAGGAATTATCTATATTTATTGTTGCCTTTGATCACATTTCTTAACTTCTCAGTCTCTCACTTTTCATGACTAATGTGTATGTATTTGGTTTTAGTGAATCTCTCATTACAGAAGATACACTTTAAATTTCTAAATAATATAAACATTCTTATCATCTTTCTTATCACCAGCATTTATTATCAGTGTTTATAATCTCAGCTGAAACTTATCTTCTATTAATAACCTCTTGGGGAAAAGATTACATTATACTTTGATACTAAAAATTCAAATCACAAAAGCTGAAATGGAATGAAAACCAAGAGGGATAATAACATATTGGAAAGCCTACAAATGCAGGCACCTGCTCCATTGTGTAGTTCTTGGAGGCTGAATAGTCTCCATTCCTTAACTTATGACCGTTTAGGATGTAGGAATCTGGGACAGGAACCATGGGAGAGAAAAACATGGTAATCCATGAGAAATTTGGAAATTAGGCTCTCAGATTTCCTTCTGAGATTTTAACTTTAAAATCAAAACTTAAATGATGAAAGCAGAGACTATGCAAAGTCTCTTTAGAGCAGATGATTTCTTGGTCTTTGAAACTTCATTAGAATATGACAAAAGCTTCTAAAATCACAATAGTGTTGATTTGAACTGTCTTGTTTAGTATGAAATTACAAAAAAAATTAGTGCTTTTGGGAAAAACTGGAAATGAACTTGGCCTGGGACAACCAGGTTATTCCTACTGTAGAAGCAGATATATCAACTATCTCTGGCCTTTCACTTATGTAGCCAACTATCTGTTCCAAATCCATGTTCCCCCTACACACTTTCTAATCAAATTTCTAGCACTGTTCCTATTGGAAAGGAATGCTCAGGGCAGAGGATACAAGGCTAGATTAGTAATAGGTCCCCCTGTAAACTGATAATTAGATCTTCTGAATGTGTAGGCCAGCCTTGTCAAGACTGGCTCCTTTGCACTTGTTTGTGGTACTGATAAGTTCTATGAGTCTATAAAACTAGCCTCAGACTCTGGATTGTGGAGGTAGGTAATGAAACCCTTCAGGCCAGCCTGTTTGCTAGCTGATCTCTCCTGCCTTTGCCAATATTTCCCATATGCATCTGAAAATCTTTTAATACAGGAAACACAAAGATCTATGCCAAGGCATTTAGGATTTCATTAAATTTGAGTAATAAACAATAAGGAATTATGTAACACTGTCCCATTACTGGAAAGAAACTAAGACCCATAGAGATTGAGAGACAGGAAGGAAGTTGATGGAAGCCCTGGATAGACCCTTTAGAATCCTGATTGCTATTAAGAATCCTTACCTTTATACTCTTGATTGTCACATTTTAGTGAGTCTTAGAATTCTCAGGTGGGCTTGTTAAACTCAGATTGCTCTATTTCTCATTCACTAGGTCTGGAGTGAAGTCCAAGATTGCATTTCTGAGGGGTTTCTTACTGATGGCCGTCAGCCATATCATTCTTTGAGAACCATTCACTTTACTACCAAGAGACAGTCTTCTGTGGGCATCTTGCCCTCCTGTCCTTCTTGCTGAGTGTGCTAATGTCATTCTCTTAATGACTGTTCTTTCCCCAGGGCCACTTCCTATTATTGCTCATTCAACCAGTAATCCTCAAGTGGGCTACTTCTTTTTAGAAGCCACTACCTAGTTCAGAAATACACAATGTGACCCTGTAGTCAAAGAGCAGCCTTGCATATGCCTTTCTGAACAATCAGCTTCCCTAAACTCAGGTTTCCTCTCCTATGGTATACCACACTGTGCATACTGGCTCCCCTGCCATTCATCTCAGAGTTGGGTCAAGGAACCAGCCCAGCTGTCTTGGTCCTCCTGCT